AAAGGACGTTAATGTTTACCAATTATGAGATTGTGTAAATTTTAAATCTGATGATGGCGCTGTTGTCTCGCCGAAACGTAATGAAATAAACGATATTAACCATTTTTATTTCACACTTTGGCTGAGACCCAGGAAAGATAAGAAAATAATTACTTATATAAGTACGCTGTGAATGGGTAAAGTGTATTTTGTTTCTTTAGACGATTTCTTGTTCAAAGTTTCAGTTTTGATTAAATTGCAACTCATAAAATCTAAGAATGAAATTGCAGAACAGAGCAAAAGCCTCAAGTATTCTAGTTTGCATGGATATGTTTCTTCGGTCTGGAAATACACTGGACGAATGTTTGAAAACATCCAATTTCTTTCGCAAAGCATAACATCGATTCGTAGCAAAATTGAAATTTTCAACGCAGCGTTTTTATTTTAACGGAATACCAAGCATTGTTAGTTGATGGAATATTCCATGTTAGTAACGCATTTCTAAAGAATCTATTAAAGCTGATAAAGCAAACATTCCTTATCTCTGAATCCTCCTAATTGGCCAGCAAGTACTTTTGATGATAGCACTAAATTTCACCAGTTGAATAAAGCAAAACATCTCCACTCAAAAGGGGAGTGTTAATATCATACGTACACTCTCATCACTAGGAGCCTGAGATTGGCACGTTTTGAATCTCTCGACTTAAACTAATGCCTAAAAGAATGAGCGTTGAACTTACCAAGTTACAATGTGTGGAAACAGTGGAGTAAGAACTAACGAAGTGAGTGCAAACCAAGCGGTTGCAAACAGAAACCCTACGATGACGCCCCACAACACTTGCGACACTGTATGGTAGTGTAGATAAATTCGGCTGATACACACCAACACCGCTACAGTCATCGACGAAACAATGATCAGAATTTTTGAGATGTTTTCTATGATTGTGTTGTTGTTCATATGGTGCAACCTGAGAAGAAAACTCATTGTTAGAAATGTTGAATCTTTCGCCGCCACGAAGCATTTGCTCACCGTATAAAAACGAAGTACATTATGTAGCTAGCGAAAAATGATACGAATTGAGCGTGTGATGAGGGCATTCCGTATTCCACATGAACATCCTCCCTATGCAATGGCCGTTTTTCACATATCAAATGCTTCAGTATATAATTTAACGCTTCGGAACAAATAGTTCCCAGGAAAAATGTTACCTGGAATTGAAGAGAATTACTATAGATAAAACTAATAAATTGCTTTTCCATTTAAATCAAATGGATAAGGAGAAATAAAGGGTAACCTACGGTGTGCAGATCTCTCCTAAATAGTATCAATGCCACAAAACCTGCAGCTATACCAAACGGAGCTAAGCTGATCAGCGCAAACAATTTCCCAATGATGTCACCTAGAAAACAAGAATTTGCTTCTGAAAATGCGTTGCTAACATGCAATATTCTTGATATTCTATCAATATAACAATGTTAGTTATCCCATTGAAACTTGCGTAATTTCGGGGCCAAACGCGAAACGATGCGCTCAAAAATTTAAATTCTGCATCAATGCAAATGGCTTTAGGAAAGAAATTGGGATCTGCTGATGTTTTGAACTGTTTTCAAACAAAGTATATAAATAGAATCCAGATCGGGAAAAAATATCCAATCAAACCGTAACACTTGAGGCTGTTGCTCTGTCCTGTAATTGTATTATTGAGCAAATTGAAAACTAGAAAACCTCCAATATCAGTCTTTTCACAAATGAAATGATTTAAATTTGAACACAGTCAGGAATATAATAATTCTAAACACAATCAATAGCTATGGAAAGTGTTGAACTTAATGACGGAAAAGGAGTTTAATATACTGAAACTGTTCACAAATGGTCACATTTCAAGCAAGCATTTGCTTCATTCAACGAATGCAATGGAAATTGTTTCGCAATATCCAAACACTGCAGTCATCAAAAGTACTTACTTGTTGGCTAATTGAGAGGTTTGTTAACTACCGGAAGCAATTGAAATATAGCAAAAGATAAGTGATTTGAATTGATAAGTAGATGCTTTTGGTTGAGAGTCAACGCTTGATGTGGTCTTCTAGATAAAATTAACTCAATCTTTTAAAATAGAGCTTTAGTGGAGCCCTGAGAGGCATAAAGGTCTCAATCATTCCTTAATAAAACAGATCAGCGTAGTGCTGAAAATCACATATAGTTACCTTCCGGATACTCCACCAACGTCAGCGAAAGGGGCACCCATTTGTATACATTACTATCATCTGAGTACTGTATATTAGAAGCTGTTCTAGCCTCACTGTCCATTTTGCATTTTCCTTTGGAAACTTGATACGGAAAAACTAAAGTGCCGCTAAAGTTCTAAGCAGGATTCGGTGGACTTTTGGCTCACGAAACTCAACACAGGCGAGTTGCAGAGAGCCGAAGTGCTACTAATTCGGAATTTTGGAAAGTTTTTACCCTCTAGAATCTGAAGTATTCTCAAGAGCTTGTTGTGGCATGTGTCAGTTTTGAGGCAATCGTCAGCTGTTGAGCAATTATGGAGGGGCAAAACATAACCTTTGAGTTATTTGAACAGGACAGGCTCGAGCCATTTTAATGTGTTGAAAATTTCTTTAGATCAGACGACAATTATTTTGCGGGCTGATTGATTCTTGAATAGACGCGCAAAATGAGTGGTCTATTTTCTTTTAATAATGCATGCGCGACAGAGATACATATTCCGTTTGATTTTGTTCAAATAAAGTGAACATCGGGAATACTTGATTGTCGCCTGTCTAACGTCTGATTAATCACGTCAACACCTAACCGCGCTTTGCCATTTAAAACGCCAGTTTCAGGACAAATTGCAGTTTAATGCAAAACGGTTTATAGTTGCAAGGTAATTATCGTTTAATAGCGATAAATTATAGCAAAAACGCGGATTAATTTGCGCTCATTGGCAGGTTATTGCCCCTTACAAGTTTTGACGGATCTGTCAATGTTTCGGCACAAAAGTTTCGCATGTAAAATTTCAGATTTGTTCATCTTACTTAATTGTTATGCAATATTGGGCTCTGAATAGCTACCTAACAATCTTAACTATTTGGACTTTGTCTGATCAATTTATAACACCTGGCCTACCTATGGGAAGCTAAAGTCAGTGACAGAACATGATGTGACCTGCTTCTGGGATCGATAGTTGCCTCAAATAAGAAAAACTGTGTTGAAATAGTCGCGCCTGTTTTATCCAGTAGAGGTAGATAATGTTGGTGCCAATTGCCATGAGTAGACGGGTTCTGGGTACCCTACTAATACGGTAAGAACGAAAATTTCCAGTCCTTCACTGAGCTATTTTACTATTTGTTTATTCCTCGCACTTGACCTCTGACCTGGTGCAGTGTTGATATCTTTGGACCGTGTTGAAAACATGATATTTCTAGTAATTACCAGGTGATGACTCCGAATGGGCCAGCAAAAGCCATGAGCCTCTTGCACAGTGGCTTACCCCTTACCGGGTACCAGTTCACTCCAAATATGAAGGAACAAATCAGGAATGGATCCACTCAACAGCCCGATATTAAGGTCACATTAAACGAATGTAAATTAAAATCCAGTCCAAATGCAATATTGTTTGGGTATTTCATGAATAATACTCTTCCAGTGAAACTGGCCTTTGCTAAGGAAATGGGCGTCGACCATCCATTTAAGCCGTTTGCTAATGACCGCGAGCATCTTACCAAGTATCTTCCAAAATCGCAGGAAGAAATGCCTAAAAGGTCTATGCAGGACAGCTATATTGCGGCAAGCATCCCTCTATCGCAAGACACTGCTCTGCAGGAAAAATACGTTACCTTTCTCGGGTCAGTCAGGCTGGGAAGGCTGGTGGAAGATATGGATATTTTTGCTGGTAAATAGCAATAACGAATTGAATTTTTTTAGTTTTTTTTTACCATGTTGGCGGTTTTTTCATTACAATCCGCTTGGCAATTGCAGTTACTATCTGAAATTGACTTGATTTTACTGATTTTTTTGTAATTTTTAGTAATTGTAGCACGCAAACACATCCTCAATCCCCAATTACCTGACGGAGTCCATTTTCCTCAGACCTTAGTCACAGTTCTAGTGGACCGAATTGACTTCACAGAATACTTGCCCAAAGTGAGCGATCATCATTTTACTGTTAATTGCGTTCTACAGCGCCAAATTTCCTTTTAGCCAAACAAGGATATAAAAATATCTGGCCATGTGAGTTGGGCGGGGAAATCCACCCTGGAAGTGGTAGTTTGGCTCGAACAGTTTGAAGATGGAAACTGGCAGCGCATCACTAGAGCGCTATTTTTACTAGCTGCTCGAGATCCGACCAACGCTTACGCCACCATGGTGAATCCCATAGATCCGGCTAATGAAAGAGAAAAAACCATTTTGGCTGGTGGCGAGGATAGAAAGAAACGACGACTGGAGATTGGGTTTGCCCATGTATCTAAGCAAGTACCAAGTGCACAGGAACAAAAACTGCTACACAGCATGTACATAAAAACAACCGACCCCAGTGATATCAGCATGTCGAAAAGAGTTTTACCTGCGAATAGCGCTTGGATGAGCAGTAGTAAAGTGTCGAACGTGATATTGGCTCAACCTGAAGACCGCAACTTACACAACACAGTATTCGGCGGCTTCATAATGAGACACGCGACGGAACTGAGTTGGATCGCCAGCTACATGTATTGCAAGTACAGACCCAGAACGAGAAGTATGAGTGATATTTCGTTTAAACAGCCAATCGCTGTGAATTCCCTCATTCAAATGCACGCAACTGTTGTTTACACACAAATGAACTTTATACAAACAACAGTGTTTGCTCAAGTTTACAATCCTTTGTCCGGATCCACTTCAACAACCAACGCTTTCCATTTTACCTTGGAGGCTCCGGATATTGTGCCAGAAGTGATTCCACAGACGTATTACGAAGCAATGTTGTATATTGATGGACGGCGACACTTCCAAAAAGATTTGAAAGATACCCAAGGTGCTTTCGATAGCAAACTGTGATAGGTAATACTAGTTTAATGCGATTAATGGTGGTTCTAATTTTTAGGAGTCTCATAGTGGCAAGCTGCAAATAATGTGTCTAATTTATTTAAGCTGTGGTGTTATCAATTCTATCTAGCCCTGGTCGCTTTTCTGCACTAGTCGGCTTCAAACCGTTTTTATAAACAATTAATTATAGAAATAGCAATTTTTCCTACTTACATACGCAACGTGTTAAGTAAATACATGGTTATGGTACTTGTTTCATATATTTTTGCATATCTATCGGAATTACATGTTAAAGATAATGTGTTGCCTTCAGACCTCAGTGATTCAAATAATTACATGATCCCAGTTATGACCAATCTAAATATACACTCTTATATTAATGCAAGATTATCCGGGAAAACTAAGGGCAATTTAAATCCAATATTTACAATRTAAAAATCCAAATGGGGGCGTATAAATATAAAAAGCTAGAAAATGTAGAAAAATACATTAAATCCCTTAACAATCGATAAATAAATTAATTAAAACCTCGTGTCCTTCAACATACAACGTAACGACTTAAAACTAGAACACCCGTTAAATTTGCACTGTTTTTATAGAAATCTAACAACAGCAAACAGACATAGTTTATCTAATCAATAAAGAAAGCTCTTATTAATGCGCACCTAATTTCTCAAGTAGTCGACTCAGACACTATTTAAATGTGTTGAATATTTTATCGATTATCTTCAGCAATTTTTATTGGAAAATACAAAACCATATCTAGTAGTTCGACAGTGTATGTAACAGTTCGAATAAAAAAGTTTCGTTCGTTAATAATATTCGAATAAAAAAATGGTAAAACGGTAAAAAACAACGAACATTTTAATATGCGCTAATCATTCCTGAGTACCTATAAATTGACACACATTTCCATACACATTTAGTGGAAATGGAAGATTCAAATTAGGAACAGAGTGGCAATAGATGAAAAGTACTGTGATTTATAGCACATAGACAATTAAATATAAAATGCGACATTTTTGTGTGACTAGGTTTAAGCTTATACTATATATTCGCCGAAAGTAAGTAACCCCTTGGCAGGTAAAAATATCATCAATATTAGCTTCAATTCAACAAGAAAAAGTTCTAATCTGTTAGAATCTTGATATGTTTGTACAAGTAAATATTAAATTCTTCATTTGAAGATTCAACAGACAAACAACATAAATAAAAACCATATTTTGAGAAAAATCTAAGATAAGATCGACAAGATCCTCAATGAGTAGCGATATAAACTACAATAAAAAATGTTTTAAAAGTTTTGATGGCAAAACACACTGTAGAGAGGGTAGTTTTTTCTTAGATGTTAAAACCTAGGTTTG